CTCCCTTTGCCGCTTGTATGCACTGTCTCAAAATTCGGCAGCGGACATGGAACTCAAGGGAGCAATACCGCTAACACATATGGGTAATCTCCCATTCTACGTTGGAGGGATATGTGTGTTTCCAAATAGAGGGCTGACAGTACTGACTGGCGTTGTAATGATAAGGCATTTCAGATGAGACAACAAGAAGACCCGAGTGTCAGATTCTTTGTAAATAAATACAAAACAGGATCAAATTCATTTATAGTATCCTAAGCATGACCTAGTTTGTAAAACATCTTGTTGTTATGCTCTGCTCCAGCATCCGCGAAATCCGCATGAGGTCTCAGTGTAATGGTCTCCTCATTCAGCTCCGCCACCTGGCCAGTCCTAGAGGGGTCTGTCACAAATTGTGAAACAGCCTTTGTCAATGTTGAGAGTGGTGTAATTATCATCGCCTTGAAGAGTTCCTTATCTGGAGTAATGTTTGTTTCTGCATCATCTGTTAGCAGGCGGGTAGTCACATAAAGAGAGGTGGACTTACCCAAGACTCCGGGCGCAAGAGCGTTGATCTGTATCTTGGGTTCTTCAAGCCTGATTGCCATGGAACGAACCAGTCCTATAATCCCAGACTTTGCTGCGGAGTAGAGGGGTGAGACTGGGAACGGGTAGATGGCTGCGGATGACGATGTGCAAACAATGGAGCCTCTCGAATTTGGGAGACGGCTTCCGATCTCGTTCTTGAGCATGTAATGCACCGCAAGACCAACGCCTACAGTAACCCGTTAGTCTAAACATGAAAGGTTTTTCACTGATGGTATAACTGACTGTAAATTACTCCGTTCAGATTAATATCTTGCATTCTCAAGTTCGGCTTCCGTGGAAACTCTGTCGGCGTGCAATCGAGGGCTCCGACCACAGGATCAGAGATTCCTGCATTGGCGATAACAATGTCAATCCGGTCTCCGTGTTCGCGATAGACCTGATCAAAAACCGCGTATTGCCCTTCCCAAGACGAAACATCGCACCATTTGAAGCTCAACTTCGCTTGGGGGTACTTCTTTGACACTTCCGCAACGACATCAGGTCCTGTCTTTGAGTTGACATCAAGGACAGCCACCATGTAACCCGGGGCAGCGAAGTGACGAGTGATGGCTAACCCAATACCGCTGGCGCCCCCAGTAACAATGATGGACAGAGGTAGGCCCTGAGAAGACGTCTCAGTAGTTGAATCAGCTGACGGCGACATTTTGGAAGGGTAGATAGGTTGGAGTGAGAGTGTGAAGACTGAATGGCTGGACTTGGTGATTCTAAGATCTGATGTCAAGTTCCTAATTACGTTTTCCGGGCCGGAAAAAAAGATGAACAGTCTTTATTCAGCTCGGAAATGCGGAACTTTTAATATCAATGGGTGTAGATGCCGCGCGGGAATGCCGGGTGTCCGGGGCTCACCCCCGCTGTCGGCAACAGCACCTACAGGACGACCGCAGAGATCTAGACCATCCAATAACTTAGTGTAGCCTGTACGGAGTAGGACCTTTCAAAACCAATTGGCTTCTCCAACGGAGACAACACTTCAATCTTTGCCATTTTGCATCCTCTCTGTCTGTCCAACTTCAAACCAACATGGCCGAGATATTCTTCTCCTCAGATATCGCAGATAATGTGAAGGAGAAGGTGGTTGTCATGACAGGTACGGGCCAGAATTCCACCACCAAGGGTTCATCGGCCTCTGTTTTTTATATGTTACTAATAAACGATGTGCGTAGGCGGTGCGCAGGGAATTGGAGCAGCAACGGTTTCCCTGTTATACGAGAGAGGCGCCCATGTTTATTTCGGCGACTTGGACGATGTCAAGGGCCGTCAAATGGTTAGTCATGTCCACTCGAGCATACCGCACAGCAACGGTTCAGTCCATTTCCAAAAGCTCGACGTTCGCAACTACAACCAACAACTTCAGCTCTTCAAGACCGCCTATGAAGAGCGAGGTCATGTCGACATTGCAATCTCTTGCGCTGCTGTCGTAGAACCGACTGGTTGGTTTGGACCGGACCAACTTACCCTCGACGCGGTGGAGACAGAACCCCAGCCGCTCAAGAATGTCATCGACATCAACCTCACGAGCGTTGTTCTCTTTTGTCGACTAGCAATCGCCTTTATGAAGGCAGATAAGGACCAGGCCAAGCCAAATGAATTGTCCAAGTCTATTGTCTTGATCTCTTCTATCGCTGGAATAGTCGAAGCTGCCGGTCTCTTCGCCTACAGTGCTTCAAAGCATGGCATTATAGGGCTGATGAGATCCTTACGAGCGCTAGCTTCAGCCAAGTACAACATTCGCATCAACGCCGTGTGTCCCTGGGCAACAGATACGCAGATGATCGATAACGTTCGTTCGATCTGGGACGAGCATCATCTCCCGCTGAATTCACCCAAGGACGTTGCGCAGTTTGTCACTCAGCTCGCAACTGACAACTCTTTGAGTGGGAAGTCTGTTCTGGTCGCTGGTGGTAGAGGGTATGACACAGAGGAGGGCATCGATAGGACCATGTCTGAATGGTTTGGACCTCTTACGGAAGAGTTTTGGCGGGGACAAAAGGCCTTTGGAACGGTGAGGACTATTATTTGCTTATGTGATTTCCTTTTGAGGGTATGTCTGCTAATGTCTGCCTTTAGGGTGATCAATGGTCCGATATATAGAATATGCGCCGTCTTCAGTAAGTACAACATTATTTGTATGAGCGTCTATGCCTTCAACTCTGGTTTAGTATGAGTTAGAGTCTATTGCCAAGATTTAATTCCACCAAGGCTTCTCAATTAGCAATACGTCAGTCTTGTTCTTCTGTGCGCAGTTATCTCCGTAATTAACAAAACGTAACAAAGTCCGCAGCTCCATATTAACAACAGCGGAGTCCGCAACCATGTATTAATAAGAAGTCTGTTTAATAATCAGCCCGATTGCATAGGGCTTAAGCTCCTCCCAAGACTACACCTGCGCAAATGCTCAAGACTTTGGTTGGGGATAACTAAGTACTTCAGATAGAATTAGGTAGTTCGCCTGCATATATAAGTAGAATTACATAAGAATATCATGTCGCTTAGAAATGACTCAGCATCTCAGTAAATGGTTCTGTATCAAACAGAAAGTTATCCGTTCCCTGCACTGATATCCCATTCCAGTGCACGTCCAATCCACCTATTGCCAAGGGCAGACATTCATCAACGAATGCCTGACCTTCATCTGGTATACGCCACATATTGTTCATATTCTGCGTCGCCTCTGTCACCTGCTGCAGCATCAACAACCCCCCAGATGATTCATCACCAAGCTCAGGCGGTACTACTGCAGACGCCAGTCCGGCCATCTCAGTGTATGGAGCTACTGGTGTACTCTTCTCCTGGTCCAACGTAAAGATCTGGCTGAGAAACTGTCCGCTGCTCTTTCTCCGAGGTGGGATGAGACGCTCGCGGTAGCTCTGTAGTGCATTGCGAAGCTCTGTTAACACATCAATGTAGCGATGGGCTTGGGGACTTGTACGATCCAGATCCCGAATAATGCCAATACCACTGTGCAGTGCTGCCTCTGTCTCGAACGTTGTTGATCTTTCGGATAGCGTGGCTTCTACGAAGAGGGAGAAGGCCATTATGAGGCAGGCGCTAAATATCCAGGCTCTTGATCTGCCGTTAGTACTTGTTTTATTTGAGGGGAGGTGAGAGTCCTTACTTGAGTAATGTCATGTTCTGTATAAGCAGGCCAGCAGACCCCGTTCTCCGCGTTGTCTCTACCAACAAGACAGCCGCATCGATGCATACCTGAGCTAACTCCTTCGTCTCTCGATCGATTGCAGGATGCGACCCTAAAGTTCCATCTGATCGGTCCAAGCGCTTCAGCTTGGCGAGCATATAGGAAATCAGAATCGGTCTAGTAGCCAACATGACAGCATAATAATAAAAGGCAGAGACAGCAAAGTTGCCCAAGGTTTGCCACCACTGCTCTGGTGAAATGGACGAGCTGACCGTGCAATTTGTCATGCTCGATGGTAGTGCCGAGCTCCACTCTCTCAATTGTCTGAGGAGGTCTTTTATCGAGCTTAGATTTGTGTCTTGTTTGTCGTTGAGGTGATATATGATCTGTTCAAGAATGGTGCAGACTCCATAGCATGCGGACATGGATGTAAACTCTGGTGTGCATGGTTCTGGACCGTCTGGCACTGAAAACGTCGGATTGCTTATCCCGCGTCTAGGAGATGATGCTGGGGTTTGGGCGAGGACTCCCCCGAACGCGATGTCCAAGATTCGGAGGCTTTTCCATACTTGAAGCCTAGGGTTACATTAATATCAGTCTCTGGCTATCATGGCCCAAATCAGTGTGTCGCCTACCTGAATCGATGTGTTTCCGGTGACAGATTACGATAAGACTCGGGTTGATGTAGACCAATCGCATGTGCCACGCGCGTCGCAACGCCTAGGTATATAAAAGCTCCGTCTCTCTTGCACGCATTAACCATGTAGATACCCATCATCAGAAAGATAGCTACTAAGTCAGCTGTAGGGTCCAGTAGCATACCCTCAAAAGCGACCTTTTGACCACGATCAAAGTGCTTCTGTGCGTGATAAAGAGTCTTTGGGCTCGTTCTGCAACCTTGTCCGCCGACGGCAATAACCAAGTCGATGATGGCACGTTTTTGGCAAGGTTTGGATGAACCAGAGCCGCAGTCGTCCTCAGTCTGTTCTAGTAGCTCGTATAGTTGCTTGGGGGAGTAAATGTATATGATGCCAGTTGTCTGAGATGGAATATTAGTCCGGTGCATATGGATTTTAGTGAGTATGTTCATACCGCCACCAAGAATCTCTGGATATAGTCTCGTTTCTCTTCCAAGGTCAGTTGGCTATCTGGGCTGTCCTCGGCGATGTCGTGCGAGGCCTGAGGATACGATGACTCGAGCATAGCCTTGGCGCGCTCCTTATCAGTGAATGGCGATGGCCCCATGTAACGGAGAAATGTGTGACGTAGGAAGTCGAGGAACGACAGTGATGCGGAATCGCCCATTGATACTGCAAGCCAGTAAGCTATAGGTGCTCAAATGGCTATCCCTTGGTATCATTTACTCACGGTTCTCCCCATCCGAACCCTTGTCTTGACTTTCAACATTTGACATGCAAGACGAGAACGCTGTGTCGGGGGTTTCGTTCGTCTGTTGTGCAGCTGTCGACTCTGGCGTCTGGGGTGCCTGCGCCCGCTCAGGTGTATCGCGCTCATTTACGGACAATGCTACGTCAGAACAAACGATATAGTCGAGACTGGAGCAGTCATCATTACCGCTCGCAGTAATGTCACTACTCCGACTCATCGCTCGACGCTGTGCTTTGCGACGCGGTCGAGCAGCCTCGGGATCGTAGATACAATAGGAGACGTAGTCCCGCCGGCGGCAATTGGCGCATGGGGTCTGCCCGTCACATCTCTTCTTGCTATTCTGACAAGGGACGCATGCAATGACAGCGCGTCTACGATCCTCGGCACGAACCTTGGGACGAGGCATGATGAGAATATTGATTGCAGTCACTTGCCGCTTGTCAATTCATTCAAGATGTTTAGTGGGGATTGAATCCAGTATCAATATGTGCATCTGCCGTCCCCAGAGCCGAGACTCTAACGCTTGCGAGTTAGTGATACCACATCTGCATCTTGTGCGGGGAAGCGAGCGGGTAGAATGCATCATGCCCCAGGTTTAGCGGGGTAATCCCAGTCAACTCCACGCTACTCGCTTACCCATGCATGACAAGTTACTGGACCGGGGAATGATGTTCATCCACATCATATTTGAGGTACGATCTGGCGGCAAGTGCACCTACAGGTAGGAATATGCCCACCTCGGGCCATCCGATAGCGCCCTCGGGAGGAATCTGGGGTAGCAAGCAAGATTTCCGCCATTGATGGTAAGAAAGACTCATGACTTTGCATTGCATGAAATTCGTTGACGTCTTAAATTCCTCCCTTCGGCTACAATTGCTGTGTTCCCCTCTGTACTCCGCCATTTGTAAACATTTGATAATATCGCCTTCCCCTCTTTTTTTGCTCCAATCATGGCGTGTACGCTTAACCATGCCCAATTGGGTGATATCCAAGGCCTCAAGCTAGATAATCAAGGCGTAGTGCAATATCTGGGCATTCAGTATGCCACTCTAGCTCATCGCTTTGCGGGTGCAGAGCTCAAAACCGATGATGGAGGAAAGATTGATGCGACAAGGAGAGGGTAGGTCGTTGTCCAGATCTGCGAGCATGACGGGCGCTAATGCTCCCTCCTCTTCACAGCCCGACTGTTGTTAGACCACCACTAGCATGCGATATTGAGTTTGGCTTCATTCAGAAGGCCCTTGACAAGCCCGATGACCGCCCCATGTCTGACCTGGACGGCTTGACTCTCGATATCACCGTCCCAGAAGCGGCCCTCAACGAGAACAATGCAAAACTTCCCGTCCTTGTGTTCATTCATGGAGGTGCATTCATCATAGGTGACAGCGGGGCTCCGCATTATGAAATGGCCGCAATCGTCGCATACTCGCAGTCTATCGGAAAGCCGATCATTGGAGTATCTATCAAGTAAGCTGCCTTGATGCGAATGGGTAGATACCCAGTTATTTAGAAGCTCTGTTACTGATTATAACCAGCTACCGACTTGGAGTTGCAGGATTTCTGGACAGTAATGAGCTTAGATTCGCAGGTGTCGCTCCAAATAGAGGCATCCTCGATCAAAAGACGGCATTTCAATGGGTTCGTCGGAATATTGGCGGATTTTCAGGCGATCCAACTCGCATCACGGCTATTGGCCAGAGCGCAGGCGGCTGTAAGTCTTCGTAACAGGTTGATGTTTTAGACATGTCAGCTGACGATTCCTGCCAGGCTCTGTTTTGCACCTCCTTGACTTGGACTTGCAAGATGAATCTCTTTTCGATCGCGCCATTTGCTTGAGCGGAAACAACTTGGCTGTTGCTTCGGCAACTAAGCGCGTTGCCCAAGATGCATATAAATCTGTGCTCCAGTGTCTGGGTATAGACTCCACGTTGTCGAACGAGGGTCAGCTGAAAGCATTGATTGAAATCTCTCCGGAGGACATTCTATCCAAGATTCCCATGTCAGTCCCGCTACAGCCTGTAGTTGAGATAGACCAACTGCCGTCATTCCGATCATTCGAGACTCACTTACGTTCAGCTCAACACAAGCCTCCTCTAATGATTGGCTCGACGGACTTTGATGCAGTTGTCTTCGAAGTTCTAGGTTTGTTCGCAGATCGAGATCCCGGTTTGGCACAAGGTTTCGCCAGATCCTTGATCAAGGCCATTCCTGAAGAACACCATGCTAGGCTGAACAGCCTTCTCAGTCTCTATGGAATACCGGAAACAGAAAACGATGATGAAGCTCGCATCAAGATTCTCCAGTTCGGGACAGACCTCAAGTATTTCGCTACATCAAGACACTATGCCAACCACTGGCCATCTCAGTCGTGGCTCTATTACTTTAACGAGTCGAATCCATGGGATGGGCCACACAAAGGTCGCTCATCTCACTGTCTTGACATAGCATATCTCTTCCTGAACTTCAATCACCTCATGGATGACTCCCAGAAGAAGACCGCAACGGACTTTGCTCGAGATGTGATTAGTTTCACAAACATGGAGGAGCCTTGGGGTGAGTTCCATGCTTCCAAAGATCTGAGAGTATATGGAGCACAGGCAGAGAGCCAGGGAGCGGGAGATAAGCTCAAGACTGTGGCCGGGCCATCTAAGGAAGTACAACGTCTTTGGTCAGAGATAGGTCTAGATAATCTTTCTCAGGCTTGGAGTGCATACTCCGCAAGGTCGTAGTTAGCGGCACCGCAAAATGACACGCAGTTACAAGATTACACTACTAGACTGAGACGTATAGTTTGCTTCTGTTCATATTTTCGTTCTTACTGTAACAGGACGACTAGGATGAAGACTCTATTGGTTAAAAGTCTAATAAAGAAAGTTTAGCCACTTAACAGTCACCTAGCTAACACTCTTCATTCAATACTATAGAAGAATTTTAATGCTCTGGCCAATAGTGGCAAGGAATAGTTATCTTACTACAGAAGCAGGCGCTATAATTGAGTTCCTTTTCATCTCTTCTAACTACAATGTCTTGAAGATATCGAATCTCAGACTTGTCCACTCTTCTGGGCTACTTCTTAGGTCAGTCCACATCCTTTACAAAGAACGAGTGTCAGTTCATTGTTAAAGGGATTATGGAATAAGGCATAGTAAATATAAATCGACTTCAATTTCTTCTATCTCGTTATGTATCGAATGTCATAACGTCCGTCGCAGAAGGATAGCGTCATTAACGATGATTAGAGGCTATATCGGGTGGCGGCAGAGAGGCGCTTGGGAGCCAGTAACTCTCATTTTGAGTTCTGGTCAAAATGCGATGCAGACATTCTGAGACTTCCTTCGCTTGAGCTCGAGGTTGCTGCGTTGATCCTGAGCTCCGTGGCCCTCCATCCGTTCCGCTCTTGATATCCTTACTGATTCCCCATTCGTTCAGATGTTGGCGGTAGGAGCGGGCTGAGGCATCAAAGTTGTAATACGTCCTCATGATATCACGTACTTCCTGTAGCCTTCTACCCTCATCTTGGTAAAGTCTGGTGATAAGCTCTTCATGTTCGCTCCACAGCTCAGCAATTGTCTCGGCTTCGAGGTCTCCTGAACTGCTGTCGTTTCCATCGCCTGGCTTAGGTGTATTCTGCATAGCAATCACGTCGACTACTAGTAGTCTATCCCTAATGAGCTCCAGGAGGTCACCCAAGGCAGTCTTTCCTTCTCTGCAAACAGGATCCTTGGCCATGTGACCTATCCAACGTAGTACAACATTATGGACTTTGGCATGGTTGGATATGTACTCCCAAAAGCGCCTGTTAGAGTCTGGGCCAGAATGTACTGACTCCAAATCATTGTGGAATTCGCTCAGACCTGGAGGGCCGTACAACAGCCAGACCATGAACTCCAGAACAATGCATCCCATGGCCCACATATCATCTGCACGGAAGAAAAAATTCCACACAGATCCTTCTGATAGCAACCCCTGTTCAGGTGGCGCATACAATTGCGCTTCCGCTGAGCTTGCTGGCACAATTTCGGTAGCAACTGACTGGTGACATGCCTTCAATGTGCCGATGTTATGGCCTGTCCTACTATCATCTTTGAAGTAGAGTATGTTTTCTGGACACAGGCCAACGTTACTAGCAAGTGCACCCTCGATGGTTGCAGTCGCCAGGTTTACTTGGCTCGAAGCATATACTAACCCATAAAGCTGCTCAATCACAGATCTTACCAAACTAGCGGTCAAAACTCGTGGGAATGTCTTCCAGAAATCTCTCAAATTCCCGCCATCTGATGTTTCAGAAATGAAATAAAAATCTGTTTCCCCTCGACGAAACGTGGTAATGAGTTTGACGATGTGCCTTTGGTTTAGTCCTTGAATTATTTTGAGCTTTTGTAATTCTCTCTGCCAAATTGGCTCGAAGGACAGACGTGTCACAGTGATATAAACCGGGTTCTGAGTCTTATGAGTCTCAGTTGTTAGCCCCGTGAAAACAGAAGGTTTTCGAGTCTTGCTTCTAACTCACCATGTCATTTGACACAAGATGACGGCGGTGAATCTTGTATTTGATTGCCTGTCCATAGGAGTCTTCGTCCGTCTTGGTACATTTTTCTGTGAATGGCAGGATAGACTCTTCATGTTGGTGCCTCACTACGAGGGCCTCTTTACTAGAAAGAACAGGCGCACAAAAGCTCCACTGATAGTAGCTGAAGAAGATGAGGATAAACTCCGAATACAATGTGTTTCTGTGCTCTTCTCTCTGAAGGTCATCAATGTCTGTCGGTTCAGTATCGTCTTGATCGTAAAGTTCGTACATATACTTTGACAAGTTCTCGAGGTCCGATTCCTCAAGTGGCAAGGTTTCATCGCAGATTTTGTTTTTGTTGAAAAAGTGCATGGCATGCCAGAGTTCCTCCCCTTTCAGATCGCTTAGAACTAAAATGGAAAAGAGCTTCTTGCCAAGCGCTACAGTGTAAATGACTGTGTCTTTGAAAGTCTCGGGGTCGATACGATTTGGAGGGGAAATTCGGTCACGGTCTTGTGGATTCGCGAGTTCTTCCGAGGCTCGTACTCGATTTTGAATTGCATCAATCTCGGACTCATTAGTACTTGGTGGTAGGATATTAGTATTGGCCATGTGAAAGGAGGATCGATGACCACAGTTGCAAGTGGCGCCAGGTAAAGATTTGTTATGATTGAACCCCCTGCAGCCGCACCGCTGACCTTTGAGCTTAGGTGTCATGACGATATAGCGGCATCGACCCTTCTGTAACGCTTCTCCTGGTTTGACAATGGCCGAAAGTACTGACTCCATCGTGATGATACCTTGCAGGCTGCCGTCTGGTGAGAAGAGATGTGGGTTGCTGATAAAATCGTGACTTGTAGGCCCTTGATCTTCGAACACACTCTCAATGAGCGTCTCTCGAATAAGTCGCTCGGTTTCTTCAAGTTTCACATGGACATGGTTCAACACTTGGTAGTGGTACTGAGCCTCGTATGTTGCCAAGTCAACAAGTGTGATATTCATCTTTGATGCGACATCTGCTGCATCGTTTCCATGATCCTGATGTTCATGACCTTCCTGACTGTTGTCAGACTGCAATGACTCGAGGCTTGTCTCAGACCTCGCGACTGCATCCTCCGTATGAGCTGACATTCCATCATCGGGCATCAATTTGGATCTATTGAGTGCAAACAAGGCTAGTCGCTCCAAGTGCTGACCAATGTGACGCTTCAAGTCACCGTAAAGGATGATGCAAGGTCCTCTTTGTCCTATGGTAAGATGATCTTGATGCGGCTTTTCAGTGGAATCTGGGGTCGGATTGTCATCTGTTGCAAAGTTGTTGGGCAGCGAAGTTATCCAGGGAGCCACCTTTGTGAGAACGTTATCTGTGATCTTGTTGAAGTGTCTTTCGGGAAGCTTGGCCATATCTGTCTTCTCTAAGTCGTATTAGTCTAATGTCATTTCTGGTTGCAGAATTACAGATATTTACCACTGTCAAACGATTCTGGACAACTGTCATCAGCAACGTGTCGAATGACCCACGAAGGCTTATAGCACTCGAATCCATTTACAACGTCATGGCATCCATCTCTACACAATGGGCAAGTTACGACATCGGCCGAGCTAGATCGCTCACATAACTTTGCAAGAGACAAGAGCTGGGGACCTTGAAGTTGTAGCTCATGGAGGGCTTTCATATGTTCAATGAACTCCGTCTCACTGTTGTGTGGTTTGTGTTTCGGGTCATTACAGTGCCATTCTCTTCGGTGGTTCTCGAGCTCGTGTCTCAGCCAATCCTGGCGTGTTTCGAATAAGATATCAGGTGTTTCGCAGTTATCGAAAGTGCACACATACGCTTGAAGATCGCGGAACACGTGTCTCCTGCACTACGTTAGTAATGCTATTACTGAGTTTCGAAAGATTTACCAACTTCCATGCTCTCTCGCCTTTCACTTCAATTAGATGATAGCAGAGGGGACATAGGAACTGATCGAGCGCTTCGCCATTGTCGTCCTGCGGGCGAGGAGGTACTCGGATCCCTACACTATCCTTACCAGTGAATCCAAACGTCGTAATAGTTCCGGATTCTGACTGAACATCGGGTTCTTCTCTCATATCGACTGGGGGGATGAATTTGGTTGCTTCGGTACTCGCCAGGAGGCTTCCTTTGGAGATGGTAGGGGCATAGCTTGGGGTGTCTCTGACCAGATTCCTTATTGGGTGGGTGGTAACCGGAGGAGGTGGCATTTCCTGTTCTGCTTTTTCCTGGGGCTCATCTCGAGCGATATGACCTGCAGCTGTCGTCACATCCGATGGTTGAGGCTCTGAGGATTTCCGGTAGTGTTGCTCATTATATATAAGCAGCTGACGGCGGCGAGTAATTGCCTTAGCAAGCCGTTTCTTGAGCACTGCGGAAGCGCCAGGAAAGCATTCGTCGACATGGCGCTGATCAAACGAAACGAAATGATCGACTGTGATCTTGGACGCTCTGGATAGTCTGTCTGTTGCTACTGGCTGTCTGATGACCATCGCAAGCGAGTACAGATGCCTCACTGAGTTGGTGATCGACTCATATAGTGCAGCAATTTGACGCTCAGGAGTCAGCATATCGGCTTCGTCAGAACTGGAGCTTTCGGCTGACGAAGTTATGGACGATTGGTCTGAGTCATTGTCTCGTTGTCGGTCAAACTTGGGCTGAGCTGCTTCGGCCATTGGCCGTTTGCCAAGTATGAGATCGGATGCTACCGACTATTAGTTTAGAAGTATTAGAGGAACAATAGGATAGGTGTACCAGTGTTGAGGGTACTATCAAGGCGCTGCAATATATCTACAACTCGGGCAGCATAAAAGCTAGAATATCTGAGGCGATAGTCAAGTGAGATTCGCTTGTTAGGGCCATGCTTTGCCCCGACACTTCCGGCCCATACATCGAAACGTGAGTATTCATTCGCGATACCTTTGAGAGGTATTCCGTCATTGGCATCACTAGTTGATGTATCAAGGCTCTTGATCAGATGGCTGAAAGACTTAGAGCATTGGATATAACAATCGCTGATAGTAGCCATTTCTGCGAAAGACATGGCAGAAGCCTGAGTGAAAGTAAATGCCTCATGCCCTGGAAGTTGCTCACAGAGAGAGGGGTTGACTGTGCAGTCGCCAGTTCTGGCAACATATGCAGGTGATCATGTTGGAACCAACAGACAGCTTCCCAACGCCAATCATTATGTGCCACGGGAGACT